AGAGAAGGGAGGACAAAAGAATGAAGCATAATAGGTTTATGGTTAGCAAAGCAAGCACCTACTGTTGACTTTTTAAAAAACACATCTTGAGTTTTTTTCTGAAAAATAGGAAATCTCTCATGGTCATTTCCAGGGGTTTTAAGAGAAATGTCCCATTTTAAGCAGACTCAGGACAAGTTCCCAGTAAATGCTGAACTTGTATAAAGCATGCACACATGCAGTGTTGTATGTATTTTTTAAAATGTGCTTCAGATTGCAAATAAACTATATTTATAAATTCAGTTATTTTCCATGTTAATTGTAGTAAATGAAGGTAACCATGAATACACAATACATTGTTTATTGAATGTATTTACTAAATGGTGTTGCTTTGAGTCACAGATTTGTTAGATACTTGAATTATTCTTTACAATGTCCTTGTTTGGAATGAGAAGTCCCAGCATTCTGATATGAGGATAACTCAATAGGAAATTCAAAAGGCCCCTGCTATTGCTATCTTCTTTTTAGTGAATACTGCAGACATATATTGACAGTAACTTTGGGAAACATTGTAGTAGGCAGTACAAATGCTATGTTTCATATTTTTTATTCAAGAAAGAAGCAAAAAAATTGTAAGTTAATATACTCATTCTGGAACTGGCTGTGTTTTTTATACATTATAAAAATTGATGTACATGGCATTTTAAAGCTTTCTGATCACTGAAGTTTATAAATAATAAACCAAATATTATGAAAATCTGGGGTTTCTAAACTGCTAGTTAATAGGAAATTAAGGCCAATTTAATTTAGAATATATTTTAATACATTTGTTATTCTTACCTCTTGACTTACTTTTACTCTTTGGAGGTCATTTGGTTGTTTATTATGCTCATTTGGGATAGTATTTTAGATTTTGGGGGGAGTAAGAAATTGTGTTGGTTGATACATTGACTTAGTGATATTTGTAGCTTGTTTTAGTAACATGTAAAAACTAGTAAATTTGTTAATTGGTATTTTCATGTATGTTAACAATGTATTCTGATTACTCTTGCACATACCTTTTCTTGTCTTTGTTCCACCCTTATGAGCCCATACTCCTTACATTACTTATGTGTGTTTGTTTTGTTCTGAAACTCAGTAAACATAACATGGCCATCTGTCTGACTATGAGTTTGAAATTTCACCTTGAAGTCTTATGGTCTCACTGGTGTTTATAGACATGCTGAAAGATATTCACCATTTCCTAGAATTGTTTATAGATGTGTTGAAAGATATTCACCATTTCCTAGAATCTATCAGATGGGAGGAAGCTCTTTAAGTCCCTTTCTCATGCATGTTTGGCTGTTGACAGGCCTGTTGTGTGCAGGTCCACTGTAGGCAAATTCAGTTGCACTGAGTTGATGATTGGAATATCTGTATCATTTCCAAGAGATGGCATTTTATCTTTCAGATCTTATTTCCATTATGACTTCTTTTCTGAAATATGTCCCGAGTCTGGAGGGGCTAATATCATTATCACAGAGCTGTGAACTCTATGAACTGCCTACTTGTGCAATAGTGGTACAACTGTTATAGGAGTAACCAACGGTTCTCTGACTGGATTGAGGTGGGGTCAATAGGAGGGAATCTATTTCTGACACTGTGAAATCCAATAGAAAAGAAAATATGACTAGGGAGTTAAAAAGACCACTAATAAGTGAAGAACATGCATACTGCTCTTGCAGAGAATTCTAGTGCAGTTCCTAGCACCCATACCAGGCATTTTATAACCACCTGTCACAACATCTCCAGGGGTATCTGACATTTCTGGCCTCTTCAAGCACTTGCAATCACACGAACAGACCCATACACTGACAAATAAATATACATGTAATTTTAAATAAAATAAAAATTTTAAAAAGAATTATTATCCCTGAGAATTAAAGGACCTAGGGAGGAACCTATTAATGTGGTTTAGCTAAATTGACATAATATCAAACTACCTTCTAATTATTTACCTTCTAATTATTTATGTTTAAACCCATAGATTAATGATGACCTCATCTTTAATCAGAAAAGCTTTTTTTTATATTGGGTGTTTAATGGATTGGCTGACTGGCTAGCAGGCTGGCTGTTTGACTGGCTCTTTGAATGGTTGAATGCTCGATTTGAGATAGTTTGCTGTACATTGTGGTAGCTTTGTGAAGACATTTGAGAAGATCTCTTTTAGTGGAATAAGAGAGACTTTTGCTCCAGCCCAGTATAACTGCAGATAAAACAAAATCTCTCCCAGGTAATGAACTAAAGATTTTGTAGCTGTAAATGGTAATAAACATATTTTATTTATAAAATAAAGTAGACAAACTTAAAAGATCACTGAAAAGGTTTCAACTTTTTTAATTAAAATTTTTCACTGAATTGATTGTTTCTTTAGAAACTTCAAAGACATTGCTCCTATTGGGCATTTTTTAGCTCCCTTTGTGCATTTTAAGGCATCTTGATAGAGTTTATAATTCACATTGTATAAAGCTTAAGGTCAGGCACCTGTTTTCTTTGCATGTGCTAGCTGAGTGCTCAAACTTCCTCTCTTCTCTACCTCTTGTGACTCATTACACACTGGCTTTTAAGAGCCAAAAGGGCCATGGGCTACATCTGCTGCTACTATTTAGGATGACAGTAACACCTGGAACCACAAGACAGTTCATGTGGCTGTTTCCCTTTCAGATAGGCAACTGAGAGAAGCTGTTACATTAAATGTTCATTTATGCAAAGTCGTTTCAGTCTTAAGCTGTTTATATACAGAAGCTTTGCCAACATTATGAATTTAGCTTACTATGTCGTCAACCAAGAAATCAAGCAATGAACATATTTACATGTTCTAAAAGTAAGTAATCTTGGTAGAGTTGATACCCAAAGAGGGAATACCCATGCATTTCCTTCTTAACCTCTGCTTCTAGGTTAATATGGAGATAAAATTATGTAAACAATTCTCAAATCTGCGTGTAGGGCTAGTCCTTTGCATGAGGTAGATGTCTGAAAATTAGTAAAGATATTCATTACACAAACAAGGACATATATGGATGCTTGTGGTGCTTATTTCATATAAGCCTTGTGAATAATTTGCATTTGACAGAATCATAAACTTGACTTAACTTACATTTGCATAACCTTGCATTAAATCATCCAGCTCGTTAATCAGGCATTGGGTATTTTCTTGTCCAAGTCATCCACTGGAAATCACAAAGGTGTATGTATAATTAAACAGTGTTCTGCTCATATTGTTAGCTTATATTGTATCCTAAAAGACAGTTTAATGTTCCAGATTAAGTTCCAGATTAAGTGATAAAACCCTTCTCAAGAAATAGCATAGAGAGTGATATGGAACAAAACAGGGAAATGTACCTCAGGTCTCATCATGCACACATAAAAACACACGGACACAAAGTAAAAAAACTCTATGTGAAGCAAAACCAAAGTACGAGTTCTACCAACAGTGCCAAATCTATTCTGGTTGGTGTACAGACAAAGCCCAATAATATTGTGGTCATTTTCTCTATCTTCATAGATTAATTAAGCTGAAATGCAGGCTACACTGATAGTAGAAGGTGTTTCTATAACCAAGCAGTAAAATTCTTCGTGAATATATTTAGGAAGCTTTAAAAGTGAACTCTCCTATGAGTAGATGATTGTGTCATGCATCCAAACACAAGAGATTTTACATCTTTGGTCATAGAATCTGTCTAGATTCTTTACCTAGCTTGTTACATGCTGTGGGCAATCTGAGGTTCAGGAATGGAAATGGTTGTAATGGACTGTTGGATTTAAGGTAATTATTACTGTGATCAAAGACCATGACCAAAGCAACTTGTGAAGAACAGGATTTATTTGGCTTACACTTCCATATCACTGTTCATCTCATAAGAAATAAGGACTGGCACTCAATTAGGACAGGACCTGGATGCAGGAGCTGATGCAGAGGCCAAGAAGACCGCTGCTTACTGTCTTTCTCCCCATGGCTTACTCAGGTTGGTTTCTTATAGAATCCAGGAACATCAATCCAGGGATAGAACTACCTGCAATGGGCTGGGCTTTCCCACATCATCACTAACAAAAAACAAAATGCTTCACATGTTTGCCTACAGCTGGATTTTATGGACACATTGTTTTCAACTGAGGTTGCATTTGTCAAATATTCATTTGTTCATAGTTAAGGAAATTCTCTTACTGTGTGTAAATCTTTTCTACATTCATAACACAACAAATACTTAAAACATGCTCTTGCCTCTGCAATAAGGAACCCACTGTTTTGTAAATAAAGTGACAATAAGCACTCTGAGGACAAGCTGAATTCACAACCCACTTGTTCCTCCATGTGGCTCTGTCAATTGTTCTGATACCATCTCTCCAAGCCTGAAAATAAATCTGACATCAACACTGTATCCATTGTGGGTCCTCTCTAGGAACCAGAGAACTGGGAAACAAGTTACACATCCTTGCCTTTCTGTGCTATTCGGAAGAGCACACCCAGACTCAGAATTTTAAGCATATCTCCCCTCCCCGTCCTTCCTCTCCTTTCCCCTCTTTGCTTTTCTCTCCTTATGGTTTCACAAAAAGACAGCAGATTTTGTTCCTGTGTAACAAATATGTTTTTCATGTTTTGAAAATATTTGTGAAGGGTTTTTGCATTCCAGTTTGTATTCCAAGAATGCTGAATCACTTTTGCGTCACTGGAACAAAGCTAGCTGACAACCCACGTACAACCTGTTATCCAGACACACTTGAAAATGTTCTATTTCTAAATAGTCAGGAAAACTTGTGTGGTTTTTCTTTTTTAATTTTTCTTTACCATTAAGCTCTTTCTATTTGAATTTCCCCATTCAACATTGTGCATACTTAACAAGAGCCACTTTCCCTTCAAGAGAGACTATAAGGGGAGTGCCTGTGTATGCAGCCATCACTTACTCCTTTGTTGCCTAGAATAGCGTCCCATTATTCAGGATTGACCCAGAAACAGCCTCCCATTCCAAATGATTAAAGCAACATTTTACTTCTATTATTTATTTATTTATAAAAACAGTAGCCACGGAGAAAACTTCTGCTTTTAATTCTTTGCCTGTGACATTGTGCCTTAAGATCACAATTCTTATTAAACCTGAGATGGAAATGAAAAATAAACTAACAATAGCAGAGGTTTGGAGCTTTCTGTACAGTCACATGTTTCAGACAAACGTAGTGGCTATTTTCTCTATCAGCTATGTGGACCAATCAAGCAGATTTCTTCAGTTGACAACTCAAAGAAGCCAGGGACCATTTGACCATCACACTTGTGGCCTCTGCGCTATAGAGACAGCATTAGCAGAACAGAGTCAGTGCTTCACGAGCCATATGAAAGCTTGGAAGGAAACCTTGAGTATCTGCTTCAAGAAAAGTGTGTTGACCAGGTGGTGGTGATGCATGCCTTTAACCCCAGCACTTGGCAGGCAGAGGCCAGTGAATCAGTGAGTTCAAGGTCATCCGTCTCTACAGAGGGAGTTCCAGAAGAGCCAGGGCTGTTATGTGGAGATAACCCTGTTTTAAAAAAAAACCCAAATTAAAAAAACAAGAAATGCATGTTGACTACTTTTGACATACCAATTCCAAAGTATTAGAAACCTTGTTTTGAATGGTAAAATTATGTTTTCTGGAAGGATCCTTAATCCTCCCCTACACACAACCACACACCTGTTTCTGATGGTCCACATTTATTTTTTAATGTCACCAGTCACTCCTCCTACTGATGAATTGGACAGAATGTGAAGAAAAGTTTATGCTAAGAAATGATTATTTTTTTAAAAATATCTTGAGGATTCTTTTATTTAAACACGAGGAATACAGAAATGAGTAGCACAAAGAAAGTTTTATTTTTAATTTTCTGTACAGTATATTTTGATGATATTCTTTTCCTTTTCTCAGTTCCTCCCAGGCCCTCTCTCCCCTCCCTGCCCACCAAACATTTTGTTATTTTGCTATATTAAGAAAGAAATAACCCATCCAAACCAAAACAAAACAAAAAGGAGCAAACACACAATACAAATAAACAGCAGCAAATGTATGAAGCCTGGTATGTGTTGGCCAACTGTGTCTAAGGATGGGGCCTGCCTTGGAGTGTGACTGATAAACCCAGTAGGGTAGAAAACCTATTTTCCCTTTCTCAGAAGCTATCAATAGAGGTGGGACTAATTCCCCTTCTCCACAATGAGGTCTTCTGTGTCTTGAACTTGTATATGTCTTATGTGTGTATTGTCAGGTTTTCTGTGAGTTCCTATGTGTATCTGCCCTATTGTGTCTGGAAAACATTGTTTTCTTGGAGTTGGCCACCACTTCTGGCTCTTACAATTTCTCCTACTCCTCTTCTTCAGAGATCTCTGGGTGTTGATGTGAAGTATAGAAAAGACATCCCATGTAGTTCTCAATGCTTCAAAATCTTTCAGTCTCCACATGTTTCTGTTGATTGCCATCTCCTGTAAAAAGAAGATTCGCTGACAAGAGTTGAACAATGCCCTGATGTATGGGTATAGCAATATGTCAGTAGTAATCATTTATTGCTATGTTCATTTAGAAGAGTAATACTATTAGACCTATCTAGTCTCAGTTTCTGGGGTTATATATGGGTTCCACCTCATGTTGTGTGCCTTAATTCTAATTTTAAAAAATTGTTGGTTACTCCTATAACATTTGTGCCACTACTGGACCAGTAGATCTGTCTGGCAAACAGATTCTCAGGGTTCATAATGGTGCATGCATACTACCTCCCATCACTGACAATGTTAGACAGTAGGAGTGAAGCCTCTTGTTATGCACCATCTGGATTTCTCCATATTTGATGACATACATATGTGTTATCTTCAACAAAAGAGTCTAACTATTATGTTGTGGAAGGGAGCCAATAGAATTTGCAATAGCCTGCAATGCTTGGGTGGTTTCTCGGACTCTTTTGGACAATGACTTGAGAATATGTAACCTATTCCTTATTTAAACACTAGGATTTTTATTTTATAGCATATTATCTCTAGTTGGTGCTATTGTCTCCCCCATTATATGATGACATCATTTAAACAATATGTATATGTTTTAGGAAGTTGTGCAGTAGTAGATTAATGTCTTTATAATGGAATTTCCAGCAATGGATAAGTACAGAGTGATCCAGTTTAAGAAGAAAAGGAGTTTCCTACTTCTGCTGGGAGAAACTTCCTTGGTCTATACATATATATATATATATATATATATATATATATATCAGATAGTACGATCTGCTTTTAGTAGATGCCCTATTGAACATGACCAACCCCTTGCTTAGTTACTGAAATGAATGGCTGAAAGATTTAAAAAAAATCATTCAGCTTCTGAGGATAAACTTCATGATGCCAGTGACTCTCGCTGAGGATGGCTCTACACTTTGGATTCTGAGATTTGGCCATCATGACAGTACGCCTGTTCCCCGATCATTATTCACTGTGTTACCTCTTATATTTTATCTAGAAATTAATGGTCTTTCAGCACCACCACTACATAGTCAGCACTTTTTATAAGCTCCAGACATGCATCCTATTAAGAAGTTTTCAAATTTTGACTGTCTACTTTTGATTCCCACCCCCAAAGATGTAATCAATCATTTTTATTGAAAAATAATTACCCAGATTGGAAGCAAGGCTATATGACAAGCCAGCATCTTGTAGGAAGACTTTAATAATAATTCTCAAAGTTGGTACTTTGGGATCTGTGTGTCACTTCATTGAAGTTTTCATGGAGGGAAACAACAGTTAAGTTGTAATTGATGGTAGAAGCGAAAGAAGAATGAAGAGAGAAAACAAAACACAAACAAAAGAATAGGAGATGCCACCTAACATCTTACCAATAAGGAGTTAAACATCTAAAACTCCAAAAATCCTGCAATATATCCAGGTGTGCAGGTCCTATGTATGGAGTTATTCACTCTTTGAAGGGTCCGCTTCACATGCAGTAAGGGAATAGGAGTGCTAGCAATCATGTTACATATCTTCCATGAAACTTCACAAATCTAAATTTCTGTCAGTTCCAAATTCTGCAACTCTATTCTTGAGAAAATAAAGGCAAACTAAAGCTTACATAGTACCCTGGTTTGTGTGACAAACATAGTGGAGTGAGCCACGGAAGTTTGAGAAAGTATGTATCAATTTTGTTACCTTTAAGCTACAACGTTAATCTACCCCCTGTTTCCTGTATATTATACCTTTATACACAGGCTATCACTGTTTTGCATCTCTTTCCTATACCACATCTAAGCCTCCCCCACCCTGAAAAGGTTCTGTTTAAATGCTACTTATTTCACTTATTCAAGTTCCATCCCTACAGCCTAAGTTTCTCATCATGATGTGTCCACTTTGAAAAGCCTGTATCCATAAGCAGCTACATGACACAAAAGGAATAATTCAAGGTAAATCATAGTCAGTAACCAGGAAAATTTTATCACTGCTCTTAGTCAATTCTCCTCTATACTTACACTCTGTAACACTGAACAGAGAGATTAGTATGTAATGAGTGCTTTCTATGCGCCTGGCACTTAAATATTTTTCAGTGGATTATTTCACTTAAAATTGAAACCAATGTCACTGCTCTCCTCCATTTGCACGTGGAGAAAACAAAAGCTTAGATTGTGCAAGAAGCTTAGCTTAGGTCACCCAGCTTGTGAGGACCAAAGCTAGGATCGGAACCAGAAACCATAGGTGCAGAACATGCGTTTCCTGCCACTTTATAACTAGGCATTTACTCGGCTCCAATAACTGTGTGGGATGTGTAATGTTAACCTCAGAGAGGGCTGTCATAATATCCAGGCTGGGCTCACAGGATTTATTGGGCTTCCAGTAAGCAAGAGACTGAGGCAAAAATACGAACAGAATTCGTTATTATGTCACTCAAATACCAATCTGGTCCCAGAAGTGTCCTATCTGGATTATACATAGCTCTCAGCCGTTAGTACAGCAAGCAATCCACCAGAACACTTTTATAAAATGTGAGTGCTAAGCACAAATAATGTAGCTATTTTAAAGCTCTTTATTTTGCCAGATGCTTAACACAGGATTGGTGTCCGGTTCACTGAAGGGAAATTTCCTAGTATCATAGGCTGCAGATAGTGGGGTCAACAAGAAGACACACACAAGACCACTCCATTTAGGAACCCTGAATTGAAGTCATTAAGAAATGTTGAGATTGTCAGTGTTTATTAGTTGTCAGGGCCAAATCTCATGACCTAGATTTGATCCAAGGTTACTTTGGAAACAGATAGTTGATTTGTACTTTTAAGTACATTCTTTTGCTGAGGTCTCACACACCACAGCATTTAGACTTGCCCTCAGAAGTGCTGGTGACACTTTTATCGTGGAAACAATTATCTGGCCACTGGATGCCACTGTTGCTCAACCAGAAGCCGGAAAACCAAGAAGTCCTATGGCAATACAATATTGGCCAATTAAAGAGCATCGCTGTTATTACTGACTGTGGACCTATACTTTCAAACTATTTCTGTTGATGAATATCACCTGTCCACAGGAGTTGCAATTTAATTGCTAAGAGCAGGTATGGTTGAGAGAAGATGCAAATGCTTAGCAAATAATTTTGATATACTTTACTTTCAAATACGCTGTTAGAAAAATACATCCCACCCTGCTGCTTAGTATACTGCAGCCGACAGCCTCCATTAGTTACCAGCTAATGCTGCAGAGGAGGACCAAACAGGGTGTCATGGCTTTAGGCTATCAGAAGGCCTCTTCATCTTAACAAAGGCCCTGGGGTGAAAATACTTTGCATGAACAGGCTCAGGCTCATATATTCAGATACACTGACATCACTGCAGACAGAGAGCCTAAAACAGCTTTTCCACACACCCTACACACAGATACATTAAAAATCTTATTGTATGTCTTTTGAAAAAGCAATAAAAATCGTGTACTTTAAAAAAGATCAGGTAAGATTTGGGAGAAGAACTCTGAAGCAATACATATCCATGATGGCAGGTTAGAAACAACCCAAACTGCTTTGTCTGGCAAGATTTACATAGCAAACACTTCTGGTTAGTGTACAGTGAAGGCCACAGACGTAGGAACATGTCCCAGTATCTTTATGCCATTGTAGGATGTGTATCTTCAAACTTTGAAGGTACACTAGCTAGCACTGTTAGTCACTGCGTACAGTGAGGCAGATAGAGCCTTGGTCCTTGCTTAAATATTTGAAACTATTATTTTTATCTTACCATCGACATAATTTTTTATGTATTCAAAAACCAAAAATGCCAATTTCACACTATTTGCAAATGTTCATCTCTCCAGTATATTTGGAAAGTGAGATTATTTTTATCAGAATGACCGTTTCACATCATAAAAATGGAAGTACAATACATTTGCCTACCTGCATAAGTAGGGTCAGTTATTTAAACATCCTTTTTTTTCTTATAGTTTAAAAATAAAATGCCCTTATAGGTTGTCTTTGAGCTAGCTTTGTAGCTAGAATTTTGCATTCATTGAGATTTGCTAGCCTCATACATTATAGTGAAATGCTATATTAAGTATGTTTAATTTGAACTCATGTTAAATAAAATTTGTATTTGTTTACCTTCTACTTCATTTTAAAATAAGAAGACCTAATTATTTTCTCTCAATAATATGTCAGGGGAAAACGTGTGAAAATTAAATGGAAAGTTTCTATGCCCCAAGTAATATTTGTATTGGAAATTAAAAAAAATTGTACCACTAACCTAAAAAGAAAAGAAAGTAGAATATTAATCATTTTAGGTGATAAAGTAGAAAAACTTAATAGAAAATTTGGGTGAAATTATATATGTATATAAATATGTGCTTTCATAGGTTAGTAATACACATATATTCATTTCACAGCAAACTGAAGTTATACTGCACTATAATCATGTTAAGACATATTTAGAATTACCATTTGGATCTGAATATTCCATCAGTGATTCATACTCTTTTAAATGTTGTTGTGTAAGATTTGTGTTGCTGACATCACTGAGAATGATGTTCTTAGGGACTGAGAACATGTGGAGAAGTCATTCTCACTCTATTGCATTGTATGTGCTTCAGTGGGGCCAAGAGTCCCAGAATGGATTGATAAGTAAATGCAGGGTGACACATGGTCATTTCATTTGTCTAAAAGTATTCATTTAGCAAAGTCACATTAAGCTGGATGAAACGGACCTCTTGTGCTTTCCCATTCTAATAGACAACAATAAATTATCCCAATGGTTTTATTTTCTTCCACTATTTGATTAGACAAAGAACATTTTTCTTTCTCTATCAGTGTTAGCCAAAATTACTGCATAGAAAGCACATGGATGCAGCGAGCATGTCTTATCTAAAATAAATGTTAGTGCTTTGTAGTATGATTATACCTGTTAATGGAATGTTCTTTAAAATATAGATAAAAAGCACAAAATTTTTAGTGGCTGTTTGTATAGTTTAAGAAACTATTATAA